TTAATTTTAGGGAACAAAATATCTGACTTTTACAATTTGTTTTTTAATGATGAAGTGATCAAAGTTATTGGAAAAGAAACAACTAATTTGCATAATATGTTTTCTAAAAGAGTAGATCAATCAGGCTGATCTGCTTTACATCCAAAACATTTTACAGAAACTACCGCGAATGAAATGAGGATTTTGAAGTACCTAGAACTCTTGATAGGGAATTAGTGAAAAAAATTATAAAATAAAAATAATTATGGAGTTATATACTTTCAAAAAATATTTTAATCGATGAAAGCATTGTAGCTTGAAAAACCATCATGTCTTTACCCAGGTGTACACTGATGTCTTTGCACTCAAAGCAATAAGAGAAATGCACAAACTCGGCATCGCTCACAGCTTCGGCACTACGCATATTAAACCTTATATATACTATATATGTTAAAGCTTATCTTAAAACTTTATACATATTAAACCGTTTTATGTGTGTAATATTATACCATATATTACTGTTATTACAAGTTTATCAATTCTGGAAATTAATCTTCCAATTTTGGTGACTGGCGGATGTGGCTGCTTTAACAAGGAGGTATCGGAAAAAGAATTTAATTTTGTTTTTTCATTGAATTTAATTGTCGAATAATTTGAATATGGGTGGGATGTCGTACGAATGTTCCGCCCAAATGGGATAGTGGTTAAAGACACTGACTGCCGTACCAAAAGGATGGGGATCGAATCACGGAGAAGGCATGGATATTTGTAATCGTATACTGTCTGTGCGGCAAAGAGTCACTCAAAATATACGTTGAGCCGAAATCCTCAACTCGGAATTACAAACTGGGATGGAAGCTTATCATTTAGCTAAGTACAGTGTCACCTCGATCACCTATTATACTACAGATTACAGAGGCCTGCCCTGACTTCTATATGCATCTGTCGTATGAAGATTATTATCAGAGTCTTATGCATAATCTGCAATTTGTGAGTAAAGTGTTTAGTGACAGATATAGTTTGGCAAGTTATTCGTGAAAAGATATTGAAAATGAAGAAGGGTAGAGAAATGGGAATTTCTTTAGATATATACGAAAAGTGAGAGAAAATATTGTTATTTAATCGATGGAAAATTCAACAGCCAATAGTAACATAGATTTTTTAGGAATAAATTGTCTATTAGAAAATATGCAGCGATCTCTATAGAGTTTCACAGCAGCAAATTTTTATCAGAAACCCTCATTCTTCATATTGGACAATGAACAGACAGCTAAGAATCAAAGAGAATAGAATAGAAGGAAGCTTGTCGATTTTTCTATTATCTGGAAGTGATATCAACCTGAACCAGAAAGCTGGCTTGAATAACTGGCGGCCATGTTTGTTTCAGTGCTATACGTAAATGTGTTTTAATAATAATATTGTAAATTTATTTTAAAATGCAGTACTGTTGTTAAATTTGTCTTCTAAAGTAATACGGATTATATATATAATTTTCTGTATGTATAGTAAATTACGAAGAAATAGTGAGAAGTTTAAACGCAATAAAAGATAAGGACTTAAGTTTTATTACCTTTCTGCTTTAATTTGGTTTGTTTATTTGGCTATAACAAAGCATGCTAGAGCTATCTGCTTAAAAGGCGGGATGCCTTTGTGGAGGACGTTATGAGGAAAACTGACTCGCGTCTATGTTATACATGGGGAAAATCACGAAAACGCCTCGTTCATCTTTAATCGAACACTAGGTCAAGCTACCAGTGTTCGGAGTCTTTACCGCTCATCGTCGTTGGGACTTTGCCTTTTTTACTTTGTTACAATTTTGCGTTCTTAAAAAATTTTGAAAAACATATTTCTAATTTATTCACAAAACTATCGTAATTGAATAAAGACGAGACCGCATATTTTAAAGAATTACCATGAATAAGACATGTGACAGAAGCTGCTTCGTCTACAGAGGCAACAGTGAGCATAAAACCTTAATGTGAGAGAATAAAATCTTAGTAATAAAGAATTAAAGCCAAATTATAAAGAATTTAGTAGCAAAAATAAGTTAATGTTTCATTTATTCCTTATTAAGTTTAATTAAAAAAATTAATTTTTTTAAAAAATGTTGGATACGAATGCGCCTTGGGAATCTTGGGATAGTATATTCTGCATACGCATTTATTTTTTCCTGTAATGAATTAGAAAATTTATTGGAAAAACACCCATGCTATTTTTTTCTTTTTTTTTTCCCCTTTCTCTCCTCTTTTTTTTTTTTTTTTTTTTTTTTTTTTTTTTTTTTTTTTTTTTTTTTTTTCCCTATTTTAAATATGAGGGAGATGGTTTGATTTATTGTCATTATGGGAAACTCATCAGGGATGTCTAGCTAAGGGAAGGGATGCCTTCGTAGATTAATTTCTAAGGGAAACCGGCTCGTACACACGCTGCACATGGGAAAATCACGAAAACGCCCATGTAGCCAACCCGTTTGCCTGGAATCGAACACAGTTCGGAATTACCAGTGTTCAACGACTTATCCCTCGACCGTTGGTGGAACTGCCAGGAGTGGGTGGAAAGGCTTATTGACAGATAAATAAATAAATAAAGTGGGTCAGTGTGTGCTAGGTGTTCAAACTGACCCTGTTTCCGATAATAAATAAATTTCTCTATCTCCGCTTATACCTGATATTACTGTTCTTTGACACGCCGTGACATATTTTAGTATTTAAAATATGAGCCAGAAACTCTTTGATGTTGTTTCATACCTCCTGTGCATTACCTATTCTGTTTTGTAATGAATATAGTTTCTATATTTGTTCAAAATGAAACTAAATTGTAAACGGAATTGAAATAATTTTTCTATACCTGGAATATTTTGGTACTTCCCTCATCATCACATCTATTCAGCTTTACCTAACACACTCACTACACACACCTGGGAGACACTATTTATTGTAAATAACATAGCTTCCTTCCCTTTTCACAATACCCGTGGATTCAATCGAGTTTTAGGAAAAATTTCTACTTATTTTCATCTTTCCCCCTTCTCTCTCCACTACTTTTGGGCCCTTTATTTTAACTTTATTTTGTCCCATCTTTTCTTCCTGGCCTTTTGAACTTGTATAAAAATGTACGAAGTTCCTTTTTACTCTCCTCTGAAAACTGCACACGTCCCCCGTCAACTGTCCTCTGAAAAACTAAATTGCCCCCATTCTATGTACCTTTCTTTTAGGCAACTAAGCTTGATTTTCGCCCACCGGTGCAGAAAGACTTAGCGGGTACAAAACAAGACATCTGTCTACATCAAGGAGGTTAGTATAGAAGGAGGGAAGGTTCGCAGTTTCCTCCACTGTCGGGGAATGAAACTCCACCGAACAAGCGGCGTCCATGTTTGTAACTTCAAAACATTGCATTACGGCAGTGAAACGTACGTGTTTTTAAGCTGTTCTGTGCATGTATTTTCCAGTAAAAATATGTTAAATTTATAATGAAATCCTTCGCTATTGTTAGTTTTTTGTTTTAAAGTTATAAAGATAATATTCTTAATTTACTACGTACAGAAAATCATTAGAATAGTTCGAAATCTAAAGCAAAGTGCATAACATAAAGCCTTTAAAATGAGTTTTCTGTATATTTCAAGAATTTGGTTTAGGTTTTATTAGCAGCCTGTTGGGTGTACTTTGCAATTTTTCCTTTAACAAGTGATATTTCTGATATATTCACAATATTGTAATTTACTAAAGAATCATTTAAAATGATTTTAACCTGAAATTATAGCAGATAATTATCTAAAATGATAGTCACAGTTGCATTTTTTTAATGAAAGTTTTAAATAATTCTTTTCACAACCAACAACCTTATAACATGAAAATAAATATTAATAAAATAAAAACAGATTTATGTGAATTATGATTTCAGTTTATGCTGTTTCATATTTCAGTCTCAAAGAATTTTCCTTGAATAGGTGAATTACAGAAATATACCAATATAAATATTGGATACATCTTTCCCACAGTTCAGGTGTAAATATTTTACTTCTATCGCTATACTGCGCAAATTTGTAAATTTTAACAAAACTTTTAACAACAAAACAGGTTATTTTCTGATCAAATCCACAAATTATATTCCTACAGTTCACAAACTTAACATGAAATATTAATACATTAAAAGCATTATTTATTTAACACATTTACAATTCATAAAATAGTAACAATTGATTTCTATTTTTAATGAAAAAAACGAATTTTAAAACGTTCAATATACAGTTTAATCCTACATATATCATTGTATGTTTAAGGAACGAGGATATCAGCTATAAACAAAAGCATTAAAAACGTATTTAATAGTTGATTATTATTAAGTACTCTTTTTCATATCTGAAATAACAACATTGTATATAAATTACAATAAAACAAAATCATACTTACGCGAAAAGTAATTCCAGAATCTTTTTCGAAATATATTTGTGCATCCATATGCAACACAAGCTGACATGCTTCAAAAAGAAAAGAAAAAAAAATGTTGCGATTACCTTGCACAAGTCACAGCGATAACAGTAACATGGCCGCCAAGCTTCACCGTTTGAGTTGAACATTCCCTCCTTCTATTCTAACCTCCTTGGTCTACGTTGTCTATCTGTCTATTTTGGTACGAAATGTGTCTTCTGTTAAAATGTGTCTTTCTGTTAGAAATTAAAATAAAACTAAAATATCTGTTTTGTAAAAATTTTAATTGATTTATTTACAAAAAATTGTAACACCAAGAAATCCAGCGTCATTCGTATGCTACAAAAAAATCCCTCATTTCTTCAAAAAAAAATTAAATGATTTACTTATTAAATTAAATTAAGAATAAATAAAAATTGCTATTGCAATTAACAGAAGGGGGAGAAATATGATTACGAGGATTTATTGTCTGCGTTCAACCAACACCGACTCTACTTGTAGAGTTAGTGTTCGTTCAACTCGTTTTCCTTCTTTTCTACCTGCTTGATAGGTCAGCTGAGAATATGAAACTAGTTTGCATTCAGTGGCAACGAGTGGCTTTGTCTGCTTCGCACAACTGTTTGTTGAGCTTTTCGTGAATGGATTGAATTTTTATTGTTTGTTAAATGGAAGATGAGTACGTTTTGTATAGTTTAGCTCAGAAATCAGTTTTTAAATGTGTATATTTTTTTAATGGCGCTTAAATTAAGGAAGTCTGAAAAATATTTTATTTATTATATTTAATGAAACGTTTACTGGCTGTTATGTTTCCAGATGTACTGTAGTTAATCTGGTAAATACACAGAACTGACAGTTTATAATTCAAGTATGCTGATGATGTAAGCCCCAATTGTTTATATTTAAATTTTCATTTTGATGCATTTTAAAAGTATGTTATTGTCATTTTTAAATTTATGAGACTTATTCTCTTTAACCTTTATGACTTAATAGCATTTTTGCAATAATAGCGTTTTAAAAACGTCTTTATCTGTTAGAAATCACCTCAAATTTTTTTCATGTAAGGTATTTAAAGTAATTTATTGTTTTCTGCTGTTGTAATGTATATATATTTGCATATTACATCATAACATATTTTATTTATATTTTGTAGCTTCTCATTGCTTTTAAGTCTGTGTTTGCTTATAACAGACGTTTCGTCATGAAGCTAACTTCACATTTTAAGGTACTGTTAAAAAAAGCTTTCTTTTAATTCATTAGATACTGTAGGTTAAATTTATATATTGAAGATTTCTCTATGATGATTTTTTTAACGTTTTCTTATCTTTACAGTTTAAGGAATACTAAAAGCATCTGTTTTACTGGGTACCCTCCTGTGGCTGGCCCATCAGCTTGGCCACAGGGGATTTTATTTTTTTCATTCCTAGAATATATGAATTTATTATATATGTGACACTTTGAAGAATTCTCTAATTAACAGTATTCTGGACATTATTTCATTTGAATTATTTGTAATTAAGTATTTGCCTCATACAATTTCATTTTTTTATACTATTAAATTTTTATCTCTATTTTTTTTTTTTTTTTAAATTCTAAATAGATCAATACTGTGATTAGATATTATTTAATTTTAATGTTAAAACTGTTAACAGAAAAAACTCCATTAATCATAAAAATTTATTTATGACTCATTAAATAAGTCTAACACAAAATGAAATACACTGTTTGCCATTAAGCTCCATTGGAATTAGGACAACATCAATATAAATGGATTTTATTCATCATTGTATATTTATTTATTTTCCTTCTTGGAATGAATTATTTTCAAGACTAAAATGACAGAAAGTTTTGTAGAGGTCAAGATAAATAAGTTATAAAAGTTTTAAATATTCTTCATAGATGCTATGATTGTGATCTCCCATCATACCGAGTCTTTAAGAAAAACTTTAATTATGTAAGTCTTGAATCATAATTGTGCTTATTTTGCTTGTTATTATAAAATATTCTATGAATATTTTGTTTAATTTAAATTGTTCTTTTAAAGCAACATGAGAAAGTTTGTCGGTGACCTCTGACTGCTGGTATATCTTTACTGAATGGGTCTTAACAGGTATAAATATTTATATTTTATGTCATTTTTTCTTTGTTATGTGCATTTGAAAATAATAACAGTGGTTTTTAATATTTATTTTATTTTTACAGGTGCTAAGATGGAGCATATGTTTCAGACATTTTCTTCACCCACCTCTGTTCCCCCTGAATCAAAATTACAAACATACTTGAATGTATGAGACTATGCTTAATATATTTCTTTATTGCTCGTGCTTTAATGTAGGGTCATATAAAAGTTTTCTTGCTTCATTTAAAATTTAGAAATAAATGCTCTGTATTTTCTTAATATTCAGTTTTTCTGCTGTATGACAGTACTTTGGTCAAAAAGCACTTGCAGTGTTAGAAAGTATAAATAGGAAAGAATCGCTTTTTACTGTTTTTTATGCATTACGTATATAAAGGGGTACTATTCTGTTTCAAGGGCCGTAAAAAGTCGCCAAATTATCGTTGATGCCAATGCTGCCAAAAAGAATTGCGGCAACCCTAATAATTGCTACAAGAAAGGAAGTATAATAGTAAGTAACTACCTAAGATTGATGTTTTAATTAAGATGAAAGGTTAATTTCATATAATACTTTTTTATTATTATAATTTGTATGAAAAAGGCTAAACATGACTGAATGGAAGCATAAGAATAAATAACTATTTCAGATCATTATTATAATTTATATAAAAATTGCTAAACAGAACTGAATCGATGCCTGCATTGCTATTTCGCTACCGACTTATCGCTAAAGCATATTTCATAATGAATGATGCCTTTTCTTTGAAAATATTCTCGGTAAAGTGCAGAATCGCTTACTTATTTGTTTGCCGCTTTTTACAAGGGTAAAAACAATGGGATTTTTGTCAATTTTTTTTTACTTTTTAAGTGAAAATAGGTCGATGTGTACATAGATAAAGTCAAGGGTGTGTGCAGTGCCATTTTTGTGCAATTCTGAATTTTTTTTTTTTTTAAGTCAAAAGAAGTCAATGTGCACATGGATACCGAGTATGGGCAATTCTTAAAAATGCTTCAAGCAGTGGATGATTCTGTACTTTACCCAAAATTCTATTGCCGACTTTTCGTCATGGGCAATTCCCAAATTGTTAAATCCGTAGGATATCAAAAAAGGATTTAAAAATTAAACTAGTATTTCAATGGTGTCTTAAGAAATATAGAACTATATAAACTTACGCAATCTGAAATCAACGCGTATGCTAGATTTGGCGCACTGCGCATACATTTTCACTGCAATTTTCTTACAGCCCTCAAAACAGAATAGTACCTATAAAGATTTATTTTTAAAATGCATAGTGAGAGAGATGAGTGAGAAACTTGAAAGAGTATGTGCATAAAGAAGTGAAGTTTTTTCCTTAGCATTTCATGTAGTGATACAGGCAGCTGCTATATGTCATAAAATAATGAAATACACTGAGGTGCCACTGAATTATGGATAGCTAGTCAATAACAAGTTGGGCCTCCTCTGGCCTTTATAATGGCTGCCAAATGACGAAGCATATATTCAATAAGTTTCTGGAAGCATTCTACGAGAATGGCTTGCCAAACATTGCATAGAGCTGTCTATAATTTAGGAAGAGTCGGCAGTGTTGTGTGATGAGGTTTCAAACCTTTCTCCAAAACGTTGGAGCTTTTAAGTAGCCAATTTGTGACAGAGAAGTTAGAAGATTGTTCATCCAACCAGGCAGTAGCCAACCAGGACCTGTAAGAGGTACAGTTATCTTGCTGGGATACTCTATTTCCATGTGAATGACAGGACAACATAAATGGATGGAGATGTTCACCCAGCAACTCTACGTACCGAATCATCTGAGGGAGGTTGGTACAAGTACCAAATATCCCAAACGCTGCCAAGAGAAAACATCCCAGATCATGATTAAGCTGCCATGGCCTTGTACAGTTTTAATCTACCATACAGGGTTCATGGCTTCATGAGTCTGACGCCATATTATCAGCCTCCCATCAGTATTAATTAGTGGGAATCGAGACTCGTCACTCTTGCAACTCATTTCAAGTCCACTAGAGTCTATTCTCTGTATTCTCTTGCCTAGGCAAGAAGTTCAGCTCGATGTCATGCATTCAGCAAAGGTACTCTCGTGGGTATATGGCTTTTGAAGCCCATATGGTAAAGTGAGCTTTGCATGATCCTTTTACTGACTGTACAACTGTTGCCCTGATTCAGTTGGGTGGTAATTTGAGCTAATGTTTGGCTTCATTGAGTATTTACAATATGGTTGAGCCATCTCACACCATACTTGTTCTAGGTTAATTGTCCTTTACAATTTGCTCGATTGCTAGTTCCCCCTCCCCAACCATCAGCGTATTGGTATACTGTGGACCATGAAAATCCTAGCCCGCTAAGGATTTTGGAAATGGCCTATGCTTTGAGTGCCTACTCTCTGTCCGAGATTGAAGTTGTCTAAATCTGAAGTTTTACCCATACTGGTAATTGAAGCAACTGATTAACAACAACCATAGTACTAGCAATATGTGCATTTACCACATCTTCATCACGTGAGCACAGATGCCGTGCAGCACTATAAAATTTGCATAGCAATGTCTATTCCTAATTCAATGGCACTTCAGTGTATATACATAATATATAGAAGTGGCAAAATAAATATGATCAGTTAACAAAATGACTGCATCTGCAGTGGAGAATGCATATTTTGCTAATAAGCTCATGTAAAATACTGTATTTTGCAGTTTCTGTGAAATGAATTTTAGCAATTCATGAAATTTTTGTAGCTAAGGTGAGAAATATGAAGGTCATCTTTGTTGTTGGTTTTTTTTTGGATGATGTTGGTTAGGTTTTATTTGAGTATAATAAAGAACATGAAGCCTGAAATAAATGCCTTGAAGACTTTTTAAAGGAAACTGACGTGTATTCACATTACACACATGGGGGAAACCAACCTTGCAGCCAGCTTGTTCATTTGTGTTCAGATCCAAAATAAACTGTACTCACTCTTTGACTACTTAGCCGCTGGTGGAGTTTGGATGCTAATGGAATTTATTCACTTGTTCATCAGGTGCATGAGGTTGCCTAGGTTCTTTGAACAAAAACAAATTTATGCTTTTAAATTTCTTATGCAAGCTGTAGATAGATTTTCTACTTCAGAGTGGCTTTACAGGTTTGATTAAATTATAAATTAAACTTTAGTAACATCTTTCATTGGTGTGCTCATTTTGTGTACTGAATGATGTGACATGCAGTGATTGCCATATCTGCATGCACATACCCTTTCAAATTTTGCAGTATCTTTCACAGGTCACTGTATATAAATTATCAAATCCATGTATGCTTCTATTGCAGTAACATTAAATATATATGGCATATCTCATTAAGCAGCTGACCTGTGTGTACTTTAGAAGCCTGATTTAAACTGCCATAAAATGTTATAGTGTAAATATTTCATTTTAAAATTCTATTGACTATCATTATAATTTACCCTTGAAATGTGTGGAGGGCTGGCATTGTGCATTTTCAAATCTATGTTTTCTTTTTTGGCTCTTCAGAAACTTAATAATTAATATCCTATCATTTATCGGAAGCCTTGCCAATGACTTGCTGTGTATTCTCTTTGCTATGTGTATTATATATGCTGTATTCTTGTTTTTAAATAAGTTGGAGAATGGAATATATTTTAAGAGGCAAAATCACAAGCAAGAGAAAATGCATCTGTGGTTCTAACCTGCATTTAGTAATATCGCTAGTTTACATCAGGTCCTTATTCAAGTAAAAGTTGTCATCTGTATTGATTAGATTATATGTAGAATGCTGTAATTGATATGTATGCTGTGTTGTTACTTATCTCACTTGAATAACAGTAACACTAGAACAAGCTCACGTAATTCATTGTGGCAAGGAGAGCAAGACTGCACCTGTCGTTGGCAAAAGCACCATACAAGTGACAGTACAACTTCGCTCTGTTCCAACCCCAATTTCAGAGAGAAGCACTTTGGGGGACAGGTCCGAGGGTCTCCCACTCCTCTTTCCCTATCATTAATCTCTCGAGATGACTTTAGGCTTGTCACATATTTAGAGTGCCCCCATGTCACAATGACACAATACATTTACAAATATCATGCCCTCGCCGGGATTCCAACCCGGGCCCTTCAGTATAGCTGTAGGCTTCCCTAACCACTATACCATCTGGGTAGCAATATGCATACTACTAACATTTGATGTCAGAAATGAAATGTTTGAGAAATTACTGTGCATATCAAGTCATTTTCTTAAAATGTTACATTTTTTTTTTTTTTTTCTCTTTTTGCATGCTTCTAATAATAACATTTATTCTCTGAGTAAAAAAAATTTTTTTTAGTCCAAAGGGACTTTGTCCCTGAAGGACTATTGTTTTCCTTTTGCGATTTTGCGTTGATTCACTATAAATGTCCGTTTCACTTTTCAAACTATTGCCACCAAACGTTAAAAGTCCTGCATTATATTTGAAGAAATTAAATTATGAAAAGTCTGCGTAAATGTATTTATATTTCTCGCATTGTGATCAAACAACGGTACATAGAGCTATCGAAGTTTGAATGATGTAATCCTCCTACGAATATAGGCATGTGGAAGCCCAAATTTGAAATTTGTTTTATTATCAATTTCATATTTTATAAAACTTTTAGCGAATTTTTGATTAACAAACTCAAGGATTTCATAGCGAGCAATGGCAACGTTGTACAGAAAAAACAATTTTATCTCCAGCGCGCAATTCTCTGTATTGAAAATTCTAAAGATATGCTCATTTTTAAACTATATTGCTTTCGAACTGAATTTTATGGTTTAAGTGCAAAGAACGTGATATTTAATAAATAAATGTAACACACAAATGTTTAAAAAAATGCCCCTTTGTAATTTAAAATCTGAAACCTTTCATTTTTAAAATTTTATTTATTTTTTTTTTAATGTTTGTCTGTGTTGTATATGGCTTGCGGTAATATAACAGACTTAATGAATATTACTTAGGCATTCGGAAGAATGAGCTTTACTTCAGTGCTTCGTGATAAATTTTTAAGTGCAGCCAACAGCATGTATCACGCAACCAAAACACCTAGGGTCACCTTTATTAGGATTTATTAGTACAGAATTATTTTAGCCACACAGTCTGTATTACTGTAAATTGTATGGTTTTATCTATTTAAGTTATTTCCTGTGGGGACATGTGAAATATGGAAATGTTTGTACATGAACATAGCGAACATAAGTTCATAGATTTGTTAGTGAAATATGAAATAGGTTGTTAGATGTGCCATGGGGTTTAAAATTTTATGTGCCTAGGATGCACAACCCCTTTTTTACTTCCTTGTACGAAGTAAAAAGGAAATATTGTAATCGCGAAAAGTTTCAGGCAGCATATTTCAACAAAAATATCCATTTTGACCGCTATCGAATGCAATTTAACGATGTTTTTGCGTGACTTCTGTACGTAAAAACAGAATAAAAGACTCTTTTCCTCCCAAAAAATTATAAAACTGCTTCAAAATGAATTTTGAAGAAAATTTTGTGTGACGTCTGTACGTATGTATCTCACATAACTCAAAAACGAATACCCTCAGAATGTTGAAATTTTGTATATAGGACTGCTATAACATGTAGATGTGCACCTCGTATTTTGGTTGCAATCGGCCGCACCGAATGTATATAAATATATTTGTATATATATCCATTCTGTTGCCCAGCTGAGTGATCTCAGTTTCTTTACTCTTATATATCTGTAAATTGTGCATTTTTTGCTTTAAAAATGATTGGATTATGTTGCTCTTATCTTCCGATTAAGGTTTTTATACCTTTAGTAAATCTGCAAGCAATATTTGTAAAATTATCAACAATTTGAAAGCTGTTTTAAGTGCGGTTAAGCCTAATTTTTAAGTAATATGGCGGACATATTTGTTTACATTTGAAACAGCAGAATAGTAGCTTCGTTGCCAATCTAGAGAGACTAAGCTTCACAACAACAAAGTAAACGCCTTCATTTATTATTTCGAATTAAATCATGCTTAATCCTTTCTGGAATTTTTTTGAGGAAATAAGTGTTTAAGATTTACTTCGTAATTTTTAATATAGATATTTTGAGTTTTTATATATTTTTACATTGTTGCAAAGTAAGAACTGAATTAATTGAATGAGAAATACTCATTGTCTGTGAAAAACTGTTTCTTTTTTGTTTGGTTTGGTTATTTTCTTTTATACATCGTTTTAGATTTATTACAGTATTTGAATAGAACATGTGGCAACGATTAGATAATTCTTCAAATGATATAAATTTATATGCATTCTGAGTTATAATATGGATGAAATGTAAGGCTGTTAAGTGAACCTAGCACCAGAGTGTCGCTATGGTAAACAAATATAGTGAATTTTAAAGAGTGCATTTATTATATTGTGGTTTATGCGCTATCGACCAAGTAGATTTAATTCAATCCAATAAGTTTAAATGAAATGCAAGAAAAAATGTGTATACTTTAATATTCCAAACAAGGAAGTCGTGGTGTACACATCAGATTTTTTTTTCTTTTAAGAATTGCACACTATATAATTTGTTTGTTGGTTGTTTCTAAGTTTCTGTAAATCTTCAGAACATTATACAATGTATACATATATATTGTAGGAAAATCTGCATATAAGCAAAATCGCACAATTCAAACATCCGCACTTATAACTTTTAAACTCTCGGCCATCTATGCTGATATATTTCTGCTTTAAAAAAAAATGATATTAAGGTAACTACTTTCTGTGTTATTAATTCATAGGCATCAGATGCATTAAAGGCATGATCTATAGGTTACTCTAATTTAACTTCTGTAGTTGATCAAACTTCCCACTTTATGTCCTGCTTTGTTTCTTAAAATGAAATATTATATTTATGATATGGTACTCATGATGTCTTCTTCATTTCAACATTCCTTTTGCTATTGCACAAGCATGGGAAATTATTTGAAGGAAATTGTCATCTTATGTATAACAATAATTGTAAGCAAAATTTCACTTTAAAAGTGTTACATCACTTTCAAATATATAAATTTCATAATAAATATTTTTTTATCTTATAAGCTTTATATATATATATATATATATACTGTTTGTAGTCTATTCAAAATACAGTGGAAGATGGTAACTATTTTAGTGATCCTTCATCTGCAACAAGTAGTGAAACAAGTGCAGTCTCTGCTGGTCTTAATGTTGATCTAACCGGAAAGGTAACAGACAATTTATAATAGCTCATCAGTTGCATGAGGTATGCTAAGTTGATACACTTTATGTTTCTTCTACATTTTCCAAACTTTCTGTGAATTCCAATGATCATAAACATTTTCTTATAATAAGAATATATCATTTTATGACATTGCAGGTAATATGATATATTCTTAATTTAACTTTTATATTTTGTAAGCCTGAAATGTGTTAAAATTGGAGAGAGGTGTACAAGAATTATTGGCAATAAAAGTAATTAAAAAAATTCTATTAATAAACTTTAATTCGTTAATTTAATGAAGGTTAATTAACTGTTTTTAGCAAGGCTGTATATACATGGATGGCCTAGAATATTTTTGGTAAAGATATATTTACTGGTGTCTCTTCGCGATTTTGGGCGGTACATGGACACCGAGTGAACTCTACTTGTTATTTTGGCTTTGTGTGCCAGGATAATAAGTCAAAGAATTATATGGACTCAGTATCCATGTACACATTGACCTATTTTCACTTGGAAAAAATTCAGAGAATTGCACAAACTAGCCTGATTTTGTCCATGTACACATCAATCGATATTCACATAAAAAGTCAAAGGAGCAGCCAGCAAAAAAGTATACAATCTCAATAAAGGAAATTCATCTTAGCACTATACAAACCTTATTTACAAGTTTACGTGTGTTCAGTCAAACAAAAGTCCTTAACAGTATCCAAAAACTTCCTAAAATTATCTGAACTAGAATCTATATGCTGGCAACGTCACATAAATTCATAAAAATAAGAGTAAAAAATATCCTCTGTAGAGCCTAGGAGGTTAGGCACTACGGTATCATCTGACATTCGACCGTATGCATTTCCTTCCTGCAAACGGATACTTAATAATGGCTACTAAGTAAACCTTTATACACCAATCAATTAATGCTTTTTTCCCTTTCATTTCAAATCGTACAGAAACTTCAAATTAATCTTACTACAGTCAGCCATTTTACCATGTGAACCATAAAATAACAACTTCTTATCCAAAATCTGACACACACGTTTCAAACCTTTTCCCATTATTCAAATCCACCGCAATCATGCAATCAATTACGTCATAATAGGGTTTCCATAGTATTCAACTACTCAGGTTGCCATAAATGAAACAACAACTTGGCAATAGTCCTAGGGGCACCGTTAAATCTACTAACCCATATTTTTTTTAACATTAAGAAAGTGTATATATATATGCATCTTGAAGTATGTCCAAGAAATTAAGGAAATATATTAAAGTGCATAAATTGCCATATTAAGTACCAGGGGCATTAAAATTTAGAAAATATCTTTCTCATGGCAGGTTTGGGAAATTTAGGATTTCTTAGCTAAATCCTTGTCTGGTCAGAAAGTTAAATGTTTTGCTTTTGCTATTTTTACTGCCATATATTTCATCAAGCTGCAGATTTTGTTTTTAGCAATTTCCTGATCAAATTTTATTTAATTTTAGTGTCCTTATGTTTGAGAGACAACTGTAAAATTTTATTTTCAAATGAAATTATATCTGTGAAATTATGTTTGGGATGTTTAAGAGTTGTGCAGATATTTTCAAAAGTTAGGGAGTATTATTGAGTGACAAGAACTTCTGTGTGTTTTCCATTTTATTGACTATATATTCTCAAGGATTTCTTAAAAAATCATTACAAAATATTCTGGTAGTTCATTTAGTATAACTTTAGAGAAAAGTTATTTTTGTTTTCCAAATGGCTTGTATAGCATTTTAACTGCTGTCTTTATATACAGGTGATACATCTTCTGTTAGACAGTCTGTCGATTGCTTATATATGTACACTGAAGAAATATTGATTATATTATCTCCTAAGATTAATTTTAGTAGAATTATCTAAAAAGAGTGAATCCATAGTTAGTAAGTTTGATTCCAAAAATTGTTTTAAAGTAACTTGAATGTAAATTGTTAAAAATGTTTAACGGGGACTTGAATTAAATCATGAATAACAAAATTTCAATTGTAAAAAGAAATTAAATTAAAAGCAAGTAATCATTGCCATTGATCGGAAATTAGTTGACTTTTCAAGGGGAACAAACCAACTCCCATTCAATGAACAATATTGTCCTTTACTCAAGGACAAAGGCGATGCCAAACTGGCAAATTAAGTTAGGCCAAATATTTCCGTGAATTGAAGGGATCAAGAACTAATGCAGAGCACCAAAGAACTCATTCTGATTAAGCATTTTCGCTAATTCAGTTTCGAGTGAAAAGCAATTTATGCAGTAAAATTGATAAATTACTTGAGTAATTGTCCCCCAACACCCTTGTGTTTATGCATTTTAATTCAAAACTATTTGTAAAAAATTAAACTTAAATTTCCAGTTTGGCTTTGCCTTATTACTTGAGTAAAGGACCTTCGTATTTTTTTCTTAATTATTGTTCATTGAACAGGAGTTGATTTGTTCCCCTTGAAAAGTCAGCTAATTTCCGATCAATGGCAATGATTACTTGCTTTTAATTTAATTTCTTTTTACAATTGAAATTTTGTTATTCATGATTTAATTCAAGTCCCCGTTAAACATTTTTAACAATTTTCGGAATTAAACTCACTAACTATGGATTCACTCTTTTTAGATAATTCTACTAAAACTAATCTTAGGAGATAATATAATCAATATTTCTTTAGTAAATAAATTATTATTAACTTAATTTGCAGCTATTGTGCAAGTAGTAGAATAACTTGATTTCGCACTAATTTTAATTTAATGAATGAGTGAATTTAAGATAATACAACACATATATATATAAGCAATCGACAGATTGTTTAACAGAAGTTGTATCACCTGATAATATATATGAGTATTATGTATATATATATATAATACATTAGTTTCTAGATTTTTTATAAAAAATTAATTTTTTTTTAAATTTAATTTTTTTAAAAAAGTTTAATTTAATACTTGACTTTACTTGCTTGTTTCTCAAAAGACTTCATTAGTATTTTCCTTTTAAAACTTTAATTCTTAAATGCTAATTTCTAAGAGTACCACTTTATTGGTATTTCTTTTTGGACATTCTTCACTTTTTACTTTTGGTTTTGGCTTTTACCCTTGCCTGCATGAATGACGAAACACGAATTGAATGATTGGAGAGTTAGGTTTGGAGGCAACTTCCCTTTGATAAGTCTGTCTCCTGCCTGCTCAACAGTCATTCACTTATGCATTGTTTAAAAAATTGTTTGGATTAATTTTAATTTACTAAATTAGTGAATTTATTTTCATGGTTTGTTTTTGCACTTGATTTGCTTATGCTTCTGAATTTAAATGATATTGTAGATTAGTTCGAGAATTAAATCTTTTATATGTTTACACATTTTCTTTTCCTCCTTTAAATTTGCTTTTTTACTTTTATACGTTTTTGTTCAAATTAAAATTTAATTTGATTAAATTTATATAATACTCATATATATTAATTTGTAATGTTAGAATATTATTAAATCATTTTGTTATAAAGTTACTAATTAAATGGCAAATCTCATAATGATAATAATTTTGAAAATGAAGTGGTAAATTTTATTTTCCATTTGAGAAGGAAAAATCATTTCAGGATTAAGAAGCAAAATTCATTAGCTGTCAATAACCATTAATTTAGAAATTATTTCATTCTAATTGTATGACCTCTGAGGTAGGAAGTCCTGGTGTGATTTATGTAATATATATAAATTACAAGGTGTAAATTAGTTATTAGTTAGAAAGAGCGTAATACTTTCTTTGGATTAATTTTTCCCCCTCTGTGCCTTACAAGTTAAATATATTCTTTTAAGAATTAAGTATTTTCTTTATCCTTTTTACGACACACTAACATATTAGGTCTTACAAAGGAAATAATGCAAATGCATATACTTTGCAATTTAATGCTATTTTCCTTGTTTCAGCTTGCTATCCAGCATTGTTCTAGTCATCTTCTGCTGCTGTTTCATTCCATTTCGGCCTCTCAGTCTGGTTTTTCAGATGATTTGTGGCTGTCATCTGCAATGCTGTACTTATGTATATCACATTACTTACCTTTTTTTCTAACACTGACAGCTTTGGTTTTATAGGACTCGTTTGTTCAAATTGCATACAAATAAAATAGTATCCTGAAAAGTAAAAATCACAAATACTATTAATGTTAAATGTTACATTAAGTTTCATTTAAAGGCTATCTGATTGTTTGACTAAAATTCATTTCTCATCATTAACAAACAAAACTTGTTTGTATTGCACTCAAAATCTTCTCAAATTAAGCTGTAAGATAAAATGTTACTAACTGCTCCTTCCATATTTAATTTCTTTTACTGTTTTCCTGAAGTTTTATCTTTGTTTTTGCACGTGTTTTTGTGGTGATGGAAGTAATTGCAAAGTTAGAAATCTTAAAAATCACATGTAAGCATCCTTCCTAAAAAGAATTTAGTATATTTTATTATTTTCATTAAATTACATGTTTTTGGTAGTATAATAAAATTGATTTTACAGTTGACTCGAAATTTTATAGTTTAAAATGTTAGGTAGCGCTTAAGGCAATTCATTAGGTGCTGAAAAATTGGTGCTATAAATCTTGTTTTTCTTTGTAGGCCATAAACTCAGATGTGGGACAGTTTGGTAATTCTGTCATCGGGCGAATGACACACAGTTTGAGCTCACCGTCTTTCACTCAGTATTCTGTACAGCATCCGCAATATAGCACACCATTTGGCCATTTTGGCATTGGTAAGTTTTATGTGCTGTTCTTATTAAAACTACTTCCAGTAGCTGAGTAGGCAAGACCACTGAACGCTGGCAGTTCTTCTGGAGTTTGAGTTCTGGTGAATTTAATAGTTGCATGAGCATTTTCTTTGCTTTACTCACATATAATGAAATACAGTAATGGGGAAAATTGTTTAAGCCTTTTTTCAAATGTGAATTTTTGAAGTTCAATAGTCCACAACATCACCTTTTTTTTTATGAAAAATTGGTTCTAAATTTCTTACTTTGTCTTTATATATATATATCAGTCGAAAGTTAATTTTATCCAGAAGGCAATGCAGTAAAATTTTTGAAGGATTAATTATGAGAGCAGCAGTTATAAATAAAGAAAGTGAAACAAAGAAAAATCTGAAAGTCTTCGGATTTTATATTATGCCCAAAGGGAGATTTTTTTTTCCATTTACACACACATATGAGGGGGACCCCCAAAAAACAAACTGAGAATGTGCTTCCATTCATAGACATAGTACATAGTTCTCGCTAGATTGCGTTAGTGGAGACATTCATAAAACAACTGTGCGGATGTCGGCAGTTTGTAGATTAATGTTTGAGCACAGTGTTGTGCTTCTGTTATCGTTGTCATGTTCCGCCTGCAAAGTAAATTGGAGTGCTTGAAAAGTGGATGCTTACCAAATGCTTCAAAAGGGTTTTAAGGAGGATGCTATGAGCCGCACCCAAGTTTTCGAGTAGTTTGGGCACTTTAAGCATGATGAGATGAGTGTTGAAGACCGTGCTCATCCATCTTTCAAATTCTTGATACGATGAAAATGTTAAAAAAATCAATGAGGATCGCCGTTTCATGATCAGCCAAACTTCAAAAGAGACAGGTATGAGTTACAGCTGATGCTACCAGATTTTGACCGAGGATTCGCAAACGAGACATGGTTCTGCTAAATTTGTTCCTTGCCTTCTTACGCAGGTTCAAATAAAGATTCAATTGAATTCTAAAAGAAAAAAGATATTGAAAGTGATCCAAACTTTTGGACTGAAATCATTATAGGTAATGAGAGTTGGTATTACGGGTATGGCCCAGAAACCAAGCAAGCGTCAAGCCAGTGGAAGACTGCAACTCTCTCAGATCAAAATAAAGCTATGCAAATGAGGTTGAATGTGAAAATGTTTTTTTTTTTTTTTTTTTTTATGTTTGTGGAATTGTGCATCGTGAGTTTGTTTCCCCTGGTCACAGTGTTAACTAGCACTTTTATTTGGAAGTTTTAAGATCTCTGCAAGAAGGTGTGCTGAGGAACAGCCCGGAAGTTGGTCGATCAGGTGACTGGTTCCTTCACAACGCTCCTGCACACACGGCCTTATGAGTGATCCACTATTTGGCCTTTCATGGATGGTATTTCATTCCCCACCCTCTTTATTCACCAGACCTAGCCTCGTGCGACTTTTCCCTGTTTCCAGAAATGAAGAAAAATCTAAAAGGGAAGATTTTTGATGATGTGGGGCTGGTATAAACAGCTTCGCAAAGGGTACTGGACGATATCAAAGTATTCCAGAGATGCTTCAAACAGTGGGAAAAGAGTTGACAAGTGCATCCAGTATAATGGGGACAGTACTTTGAAGATGACTTAAGCAATTTTGTAAAAAAATTTTTTGTAACATTTAATAAATTTTTTATAACAAAAATCCAGTTATTTTTAAGTCCCTCATCGTACACATTTCGAGAGCATTTGGGCTGAAAATATTTAAAAACAACATATCTTTAAAATTTCCAATAGAGAGTCTCACACACTGCAAATAAAAATGTTTTATTCCATACAGTGTTACCACTGCTCGTTTTGAAATCATCAAGTTTAAATATAAAGTAGATAATAAACAAATTGGGTTTCCAGGTGCCTGTATTTAGGTGGGGGACTATATTATTCAAAATTTGATGGCTCTAGGTACTGATTTTTTTTCGCAATATGAAGAACATATGTACACATTCATGCAGGTTCTTTATTATGTGATATTTTTTTCAAATATAATGCAAGGCAATAATAGTTGGTAACAATTATTTGAAAAGTGATTCAACGCTTTTATTGATGCTGTTTTGAGACTGCTAACTATGAAAATGAAATGTAAAAAATTTCTGACCATGTCAGTTAACACTTAATTGTGTTATATTTAGCATATATATAAGCTTATGAAAGTGCTGTGTGTGGCCAGTTTTTGACTTCTGATCTTGATTAATATTCATATCATACAAAGCACTATGCTAAAACTACACCACTACCTCATACCTTATAGTGGTGACATGATTTTGTGTTATCTATTATGACGATTCTGAGATAGAAAAACAGTTCCATTCTACCTTCTAAATTTAATGTTTCAATTCATTACCTAATGCTTAGACATTTGATATAAATGCCTTTGAATTTATGAAAATATTATTATTAATAAGTTGTTGTAAAATGTGAAATAAGATTAATAATATTGAATATGTAAACTATTTTAAATGTTACCTGTTCTATACTTGTTTATAACTTTGGAAGGTAAATTTTTTTTCTGAAGAAATATCATTACTTAATTTCTAGCAGACGTGAACAGCCGCATGTCAAGATGTTCGCCTCAGCAATCTCCACTTCTTAATAAGAGGAATTGCTCACCTGGGCCAAAAGATTTCTCCAATCCAAGCCCTTCTCATGAGCAGTACTTGGCATCAAGTGCTATGTTTCAGGTTATATAATGTTTAATATTTGTGTGTGTATGTATTTTTAATATACAAGGATGTTGAGAAACCTGAAACAGTTGTAATTTTATTGTTTAAATCTGTTATATATTAATGAATATTACATCTGTACTTTTAGGTCACAAATTTTCAAACTTTGAAATATGAGGTAATATATTTGCTCATACTTTCTAAACCACATCTAAGAAGCAAGGATTAATGTAAAAAGTTTCATGATATTGATGTAATTTGATGTGAATTTGAATTATGAAGTTTATGAACACATTCAACTGTCATAATTTATCAAATTCATCTGATTGTGAATTAATATAGTACACTTCCATAGTTATTTCAGTTACATAGTTATTAAAGTTATTTTAAATGACATTACATTTAGAGACAGCTTTGTTGTAACCAATCTAAATGTCTTTTCTGCTTCCTTTCATTTTGTGAGAAATGAAAATGAGAGTCTGAGAAGAGTTTGATACACTTATTTCATAATTTACATTAAGAGTATGTCTTTCTGAGAACTCGTAAAACTTTTTCAGTACATTTATATGTATACAGTATAATGTATCTAGAATGTTATTTGAACAAAATAGTGAATATTACATGGGATATCAATTTCCAAATAATTAGTTGCAAGCCTTTGTTATATACATTTGATTAAAATGATAAAATACCTTGATGATTTAAGGCTTAATAGGTTTATCTACATTCTTATCAATGCTGGTAATTGCATATTTTTTTTTCGGTGCTACTTTGGTAGACGGTTGCACGGATTTTGGCGAGTTTTTGGCAATTTTTCTTTTGGCGAGTAATACGACTTATGGTAAACCCATTGCTGGATAAGTTATTTATGGTAACCGATACTTTGTTGACATTTTATTTAAAAAATAATGTGTGTTATTATGCATAAAATCCGTGTTTTAAATATTATTTATGGCTTTAATACAGTATCTTAGATATTGTATTAAATTGAATTTGGAATACTTATAAAGTCTGTAGCGTTTTGGGAACATAAACTTTTAAAAAGGACTTTTGAAGAATTATCTTCTAGCCTTTGTGAAGCTAAAACAGAGATCAGAAGAAGGGTGTATATAAGACCCTTTTATTGAAGCATAAAATTAACAAATTAAACTTGGGTTACAGGAAGCCAGCACTTCTGGCTTAACAGAAATACATAACGAATGATAATTTCAGGGTGTGATAGGTTAGCCTAACGGCTCACTGAATTCTTTAATGGGCAGGCAGAGCTCTGGTCTATACCGGTAAGACAAGCCTAAAGGTGAGAACCCATTAGCGCCGCTAATGCAAGTTGCTAATAGTCACAGCACAATGTGGCCTGGAATAGGCAGACGTGCTCTAAAACTAACTTCCGAAAATCTTGCTTAGTAGCACTTCATTCTACCTTAATCTGAATAAACTCTATCTCATTTACATTCTGACATGAAAAGAGAGTGATAGGAAAGGCTTTTCAACTTACCACATCACATTTATATCATAGTAGAACATTAAAGAAACTTAGTCTTAATTTGTACATTTTTAACATATTCATTAATTTTAATAATTTATCATCCATTAATTAAAAATTTTTTTGAGATTTTGTATTCATTCCTTTGCATATTTTATAATAATAAGCAAATTGGTGTAAATGTCTAAATGAAGATTTTTGGAATTGTATATAAAAATAGCATGTTGTTTTAAAAACAGTTATTGGCTTTAGAATCTTGCCCTTCTCCCAATAATTATAAGTTTCTCACTTTTAGGAAATAATTTGCACTTTGTTATATAATTTCTCGAAAACCCGATAAAAAAGGCCCATTTTCATTAGTCACTGTAAAATATGTATTAGTCATTTAATTGTTGCAAAGAGAGATTTATATCTCACTAATGATTAAGGCAAGATAGCATTTATGTTCTCTTGTTTATTTTAATGTTTTGCAGATATGCTAATACAATCTTGTTTTAACTCTTAGAGTTGTGTTGTAGTTATTGCTGTTTATAATACAGGAATCTGTTGGTGGAACTACCTATTTTTATTCTCAAGAAGAGACCACTCCTCCTGATATATCCCCTCTTATTTTACCGGATATAAATGTCTATCCAGGAAACCCTTCTCATATTGAACATATGAGACCAAAAGCCAATGCTCCATCTTTTTTCTTGCCAGATGAACTCAGAATGGTAATTGCTGTAAGATATTACTGCTGTTTCATTTACTTATAGCTATATAAAAAAGTTATATGCAATTTTTTAAAAACTTTTTAGGATATATTGCACAGACATCAGCTAACATTAGCTGAAGCCAATCCTGAACAGCATCCAGGTAATTTTCTATTCTTTCTGAGGTTTTAATATATCAGAAATGTTGTATATCTGATAGAAATTTTTTCACCTGTACACTGATGTGTAAAAGATCTTCTAAAATTAAAAATTTAGAAAATTCTCCCCCTTCCTCTCTCTCCCCCTTTTTTAAAAGTAAATCAGGAAAAGGATTTTGATGAAATTTAATAAAAACCTGAATTACGTTCTGATGTCAGAATGGCATAAAAAGTACAATAAACATATTTTCTTCATAAAATGAAATGTGTAAAAAAAAAGTATGTCATTACAGTGGAAAGAGCATTTCATTCTTGAGTGTCATCATCTTGTACAGAAATGCAAGCTCAATTATGATAATAACCATAGAGCATAAACCTGTCTGTTTGAGTATAAATGTTTAGTAACTTTTCTGATGCCAGACTACAAGGTCATATATATGTATCAATCCTAACATCCACTGCCCTGCTATGCAGATGTCAGAGTTCATAAAATCTAAAAAATTTTAACTTTTCAAATGAAAAACTGATTAGTATTAACTTAGAAACATATTGGTAGTAAAAAATAGTTAGTGATGATGATTATAGATGGGTGAATGTCCGATAAAATTAATACTGTACATGTTGCATGCAGTTTGACTTCATCTATGCTATAATTTATTACATTTCTCTAATATGTAAGTTAAATATCACTTCCAAGAAAATTTACAGTCAAGGAAAACCTAATGTATTTCATTTACTTTATCACAGACAGTGGAGTTCTGTCGAGAAATAACTGAAATGCATTATGACAAATGTTTTGCTTTTCAATAATCACGACTTTTGGATTATCAGGATTAAAGTAAACCTTTTTTACCAGTCAAAACATGGTTTAAAGTCTCCAGCACATGGAAAAAAAGAAGCAGGAAAATCTCTACTCTGGAAGCAAATCAGGATATCACGAGGGTATAGTATAGCAACAGGCAAAGTTTCTAAGCTTTTGAGAGGAGATCACTAATATTCCGAAAAGGAGGTCCAAAAACAGCCCTTAGGGCAGTGGATTGCAAAAGCCGAGCCCACTTGCGTTTTGATCATCCTGTCATTTAAAAAGTCAGCAGCAAGTAAAAAAAATATTCATTGGAAGCTTTACTTTTTAAGAAGTTTGAGAATACAAGGCCGCCATGCATTGGTGAAGATGCTTTTTTAGATCAAGGAAAACCAAAATAGTGTGTAAGTTTTCTTTTTAACCTCTCTGAGCAATCTCATTTAATCATAAAAGAACGTCTTCTGTATTCCTCCGAGTTTTAAAATTGTATTGATCACCAGAAGAAAGTCTCCTTGGCACAGATACCAGCAAATTCTGTTAACAAAATGTTTTTCCAAGCAGGAAGTAAGTAAGTGAGCAGCCTATACATGAGAAGAAGAGCAGGAAGTAAGTCTATACATGTAAATGACCAAATGAGAAATGCTAGACTCTTTCATTTAGAAATAAGTATCACCTGAGCATGTTTTTAAACATGTGGAAAGATACCAACATCCTGACAAACATTAAAAGTTTATGGAGAAGGAAACATTACGTGACTCTGTTTAATCAGTCTCTCTGTTTGTCTCATTTGATACAGGTCTAGGCAATTTATTTGGTTCCAGCATATAAATAACTATGTTAAATTCACCACACACACACACAAAGAGAACAAATAAAAATAAGCAATACATGCAGACCAACATTACTCCTTAGGCAAAAAATTTGTCATTGCAGGTATTAATTTTTTTTTTTTTTTTTTTTTACTTATTCCTGCAAAAAAATTGAGAACGGTAAAAGTCAGCAAGCAGCCCTGAAGCTGACGAGGATCTTAAGATGCCCTTGTTGATAATAGAATTGAAATAAAAAGTCTGAAAACTTCAAAATGTAGAATTTTGCAGATTGTTTATGATACATATATATATGTTTTGAATGCTTTAAAAATAATCTTTTCCCTGAATTTTGAACTGTATTTTTTAATATATCTTCTTGAATTTGGAAATCATTTCGCAGTTGTTCCTGATGGTACTTGAATGTTTTGCCATATTTCGTTAAATAACTTATATGTTGTTCCCATTTTCCTTCTTCAAGTCAAAAGCACTTATAATGAATTCCATATATAAAGGAAGTAATTGTTGGCTTTTCAAAGCTTAGTTGGACAGCAAATTACGTTTTTTTTTTTTTTTTTTTTTTTTTTTTTTTTTTTTTAAATGATCAAAATTTTATATGTTTACAAAATCCTTAGATGATATGTTATGAACAATTATTGAGAAGATGTTAGAGTCAAACCAAATATTATATCCTAATCATATTAAAACTACGTGTTCATCACCGAGAACTGAACTATAGAGTTAACAGAAGTATTTGGTCACTTTACACTAAACTGAAAGACATATCCCCCTCTTTCTCTTTTTTATCAATCCAATAGCGGACACTTGCCTTTTCAACATTTGCCACTCGTAAGGCCACAAGTGGTGGCCATTTTATTGTGGGCGCTCCTAATAAGTAATAATAGTAATATACCTTAGCAAACTTGTCATTAAAGGAGCCATTTTGTTCCACTTGGACTCCATGATAATTTCCTAATTAATGTGCATATTATCAAAGTGAGACATTGTATCTCTTTTGAGTGTAATTAGGAAGTAAGGTAAGAGAAGGATATGCTAATTAGTATTATATATTACAACTTGAAGCAAGATGTGTTATCTGACAGAGGAAAGGGATGGAGTGAGAGTTAAAGCAGTTAATAACTCTTCTCTGGTTTCAGGGGTAAAAGTTATTTCAAGGCCTTAAATAATTTGATTTAGCTATGAATCGTAAACTGGCATTTGTACGTACACAACGGTCTTCTCTTTGAAATTATTATTGGACTAGTTGGATTGCAGATGGTTTATTGTTGTCTTAATAACATGAAGTTTCACTTCTAGTGCCCATGTCAGGATCTGAGATGTTGCTTTAACTCTCTGACTAGCAGAGGAATTCACTAAGAAAGTACAAATTTCCCAAAACTGACATGGGAAAGAAGGATTTTCTTGATTTTAATTCCAAAATATCCCTGGTACTTTAAATCTGAACTTATGTACTTTTAATATATTTCTTTAATTTATTAACACATTTCTAGATGTAGACATATACAGTCAAAAGTCGTTAATACGGACACCCATAATCCGGACCACAAAGCTACAAACTTTCTGCGCATGCGTCACATTGGCGCGTGCACGTAAGACCTTTACGGCTGCGCATATGCGTGTGCGCATGCGCATAATACGTTTACGCATGCGCGTTTAATGTAAAACGGTTGTTATAAGCTAAAATTATCTAATTATCTATTTCAGTTAATGTTGCAGATTGCGTTGTTCCTTAATCTTCAAATTGGATCCGGCTTACAGACTGTTAGAGCAATTTTATAAAAGTAAGCTTGAACTTTCGATTATGTCAAATAGAATTTCCGATGCTGGAGCTCCCAAAGGATCTACAAAGCGAAAGTATGTTTTGATGTCCATCAAACAAAAAATACAATTGCTGCAAAAAATGGATAAAGGCATATCCTTTGTTTCTCTAACCATTCCGAAATCTGTTTATCAATTTCACGCTGCTCTGCTGCGGGGGAGTGGGGAACGCCGCGGCGCGCAATGAATTGGAAGTTGATCTGTCGGCACTATCCTTATTTTCAGAGCAGACGTTTTCATTTTATTTGGCTTATAATTCCTTACTAAATGTAGTAATCATCTCGATGTACTCCGTCTTTGATATGATTTAAATCAAATTCCTCGTCATTATAATTCGCTTCCGATAGTGAAGAAAGTGACACAGAGGTTATTGAAAACGAAAAAATTTCGATTGACAAATTAGTTGGTATTCCTGCCACAGCAATTATAGGACTTGAACAGCGGAACTTATTAACTGAGCAAGAAATTATGTCTGTTTATAGAATTAAAGAGAAAGTATTATCACATAAAACGAAGCAACTTAAACAACTTACATTGAAAGAAATGTTTAATAAAGTAAACAAATAAATATTAAGCTTTTTTTTTTTTTGTAAATTTTGATACCCTTTTGATCATAATTGCTCTTTATTTCATAAATTACGGTTTCATATTTTTAATTTTATAATTTCTGCATGCCATCTTACCAGATTTAAACTGATGATCTATAATCCGGAAAAATCGATAATCCGGAATCGTCCGGATTAACAACTTTTGACTGTATATGCTTTCTTAAAGGCCATTATAAAAATATATATTAAGTCATTAATATATGGCTTTGCTGGTCAGAAGATTAATACTTCTAATCATTGTGTTTCTGGCTTATGCATAAGTTCTGTGTATTCATTTAAAGTGTAATTGAATTATATCTGAAACTGCTGATAAGATTTCAGTTTGTGACCTGTTGATGGAATTGTGGATAATAATCGATATTTGATATTTTTATTTCAAAAGAAGCCTGATTCTTTCCATAAGTAGAATCTGGACTGAATTATAAAAACTATGGATTTAATTGAGTATTTACTTTCCTTTTTCCTTTGTGCAAGTAATTGCAAATATTGATCTTGCATAGCTATAGCAGCCGTGTGTCTGTCTACCTTAGGTAAACTTGGGAATGTAAATTTTATTGTTAGTTAGATTTTGCACTTCATGGAATCCAGTACTTGGCTTTTAACCATTAAGATAGTATCTCTTTATTTTGACATGTACTGATGTAAAAAACATGCCTCCTTTTATTTTTTAAGTAATATCCAACCAGTAATATCCAATATAACTATTCCTAATTTTATTACTAAACATTAAACAGCTGTCCTTAAGCAGCTCTTGTATGCTTGCAGCTTTGATGTAATGCAGATAGATTTTCATGCTTTTGCAGACTTATCATTTTACTAATTAAATAATAAAGTTTCGTAAAGATATATAATAGTTTTCAATGAATTACTTTGATTTCTTTATTTTTACTTTCATATATAAAAATTTTTGCATTCAGATTGAAAATCTTTGCCTAGATAGTCAATAGCTATAAATTTTATAATGTATTATATATTTAAGAAGCTTAAAATATGTTGTTATATTGCATTTACCCCTTTATTTTGATATGTTTTTAGGAAATTATTATGTGATATAATTTAATAATATTATTGTCTATGTATATTTGAAAATATTACTTTTTAACAGAATTCTGATTTCAGTGACAGAATTAAATTTTAATATAAAATCGTATGTGAAGTACACAATAAGCTTTTAATTTGAAAAAGTGAAATTTAGAAATGGAAAAACTATTGTGTAATGAACTGCTAAAAAGAAAAAAAGGTGTAAAATGACATATTTAATATGTTCATATAATAAATTACCTAAAAAATTTTCAGGTAAGTTATTCAAAGTAAATTGTATATGTATTGTTATACGAAAAACTGTTTTGCATATTAATGTTAAAGTCTATTTTAAATAAGTAAAGGTAACAGCACATTATAATTTTCATTCGTTTTAATTTTGTTTAATAGATCTTCCATCTGAAGTGGATGCATATCATAAACTATGTCCCCTTGAATCTCCTGTTGGGGAAAGTCCAGCTAAATCATCTACTTTTGGATATGTAACATCTGTATATAAAGCTGCCAATATTAAGACAGGCATCTATTATTGTTTGAGAAGAATCCATGGTAATTTCAGATGTGTTTCTTACCATTTAGTTTTCTCTCATACAAAAATGCAAATTATTATTTTAGGAGATTATATATTACACACATGTTGGGATATTTTATTAGATATTTTGTTAAATGTTCGAGAATAAACATACTCATGAAACACAAACACTAAGCTTTAATGGACTGTAGCTTTATTTCTTTTAACTTCTGTTTGGATGGACACTCTTGTCATCGCATAGGTGCACCTCTCAGCACGCAATCAAGCACACTAATCATGGCCGCTAGCTAACCACGTTGTCGTTTTCTCCCATCGTGGTTGCCAGATCACTTTTGCCTTAACATACTGCCCGGGCTGGGCATTTGTTACATAGTTAACAATGACCAAAATTAAACAGTTTTAAATCACCATATAGTCCAAATCATATATCACAAAATTTAAATTGATACACATGAACAAAAGCAATAAACATAATTAACCACAGAACATGAAATGCACAACATCTAAATTAAAATACAATGCATATATATAACAATTTTTTGAACTCAGGAAATATACATGAAATTATGTCACATCTACTGGTAGTACAGCTAATTTAGTTATTGGTCTTTTTAAAAAACCTGATTTGGTTTTTACAATACAAACTCTAACCTTTTTATCCTTACCATAAATTACCTCTTCTATTTTACCCAGTAACCAAGTCGAAGTGGGCAAAGGGGTAAATGTTGTCTTCCTTTACTAAAACTATAGTGCCCTTTTTAACGTTATCCTTAGAGAAATACCACTTAAATCGTTGCTGTAAATGACTGATGTAATCATTTTGCCATCTTTTCCACAAATATTGTGTTACTTTAGTAGTGCGCTGCCAGCGCTTTAAAGAACTATCAGAAAAATCAGTTAAATCAGGCTCTGTTATTGATGTTAAAGGTCGCCCGACTAGAAAGTGTGCGGGTGTGTAAGAGCTTCTAAATCATTGGTGTCATTTGACAAAGGGGATATTGGACGTGAATTAATTTAAAATTCCTTCAATCTGGTTCAAAATTGTAAGAAACTCCTCAAATGTAAAAATCAATCTATCAACTGCACGCTTAAGATAAAACCTAAACGACTTAACACCTGCCTCCCAGATACCTCCAAAGTGAGGAGCCTTGGGAGGGATAAACTTCCAAAGAATTCTTTCAGATGTCAGATATTTGGTTAAGAATTCATCAGGGTATTTGTCAGGGTAACAAATTGTAGAGTCGCTTCAATTCATTGCTAGCCCCAACAAAATTTCGAGCGTTATCGCTAAATAAGGTTGCGCATTTACCCCTTCTAGAAATAAATCGCTTCAAAGCAGCAATAAATGATTCTGTAGACAAATTTGAAACGATCTCGAGGTGGACTGCACGAGTCAAGAGGCAAACAAAAAAAAATTGCAACATAAATCTTGTGCACTACGCTCTTCTTTTGAGTTGTATACTTTATACCAAAAGGACCACAAAAGTCAACACCAGTATGGTTAAAGGGAAAGGATGGATTCAGTCTCTCTAATGGTAAATTTCCCATCTTTTGATCCAGCAATACTGGTTTTACTTTGGCACACACGTAACACATTCTCTTACTATCTTTCTAGCAAGATTACGCCCACTTATCGGCCAAAAATTTTTGTCTCACACTATGCAAGAGCGCTTGTGCTCCAGTATGAAAGTTTCGAATATGGTAGTGTAACATAATTAAATGAGTCAGTTTATGATTTTTTGGCAGGACAGCAGGGTGCTTTGTGTTAAAGGGTAAGTTAGCTTCCTGCAGTCTACCACCTACTCTAATAACTTGAGATTCATCTAAAAAGGGACATAAAAATTTTAACTGACTATTTTTACATACTTCCCTTCTCTTACTTAAGTTCTTGAATTCTTCAGGAAAGTTTTGACATTGGACTAAGGAAAGTAATTTATTTTCGCTTAACGAAACCTCATCTACTGTCAGATGACCTACTTGTTTTTCCTTGGATCTACAATTTCTTATAAATCTTAAAACATAAGCAAAAACATTAATTAATTTAGCATAACAATTAGTAATACTAAAAACATAATCCAAAAGAGAATTTTTAACAGTTACGGTCAAATTTACATTAGAAATAAGTTTCAGTTCGCGCACATAGTTCTCATTTGAATTTTCAAAGTTATTATTAACACTATAATTAATGACCTGTTGATGCAGAAAATTTGGTCCTTGAAACCACAAAGAGTTGTCAGCAATAATTTCCGGTCTCAGACCGCGAGAAATTAGGTCAGCGGGATTGTCTGCTGTTCTGACATGTTGCCAGCAGAAAATCCTTAGTTAGCTCTTGGATACGAGCTACTCTATTTGACACAAACACTTTTAGAAGAAGATGAGGAGAGATGTAGCAATCCAGGCTAACACAATTGTTGAATCTGTGTACAGAATAACTTTGTCAACATATAAACTCAAAGATGTTATTACCTTACACACAAGTTTGGAAAGGAGCTCTTGCTGCACACAACTCCAGACGAGGAATGGTTATTACCTTGATAGGCGATACTCGAGATTTGCTGCAAAGTAAAGTCACTTTAACTTCGCCAATTTTAGAGACACAGCGCAAGTAAAATTACTCCACCATATCCAAACTTTGAAGCATCAGCAAAACAGTGGAGCTCAATTTCTTTAATTGATTCTATTAGAGTGCAACGAGGGACTTTGATTTGTTTCAACTCTGGTAGGGCCTTTTGAAATGTCTCCCATTCTTGTCGCTCTTTGAAAGGAAGTGGATCATCCCACTCTAGATGTAAAAGCCACAGCCTTTGCAGGAATATCTTAGCACGCATGATTACAGGCCCTAGGAAACCTAAAGGATCAAACAGTTTAGCAATATCAGCCAAAACCGTGCGTTTTGTACAGATTTTTGACGAACTAGACACAGTAAAACTAAAAGAGTCTTCTTCTGGATTCCATCTTAAACCCAGAGTCTTTACGGTGCTTTGTGAAGATTCTCCAAAACGATACTCTTGTTTTTCGAATGGAACTTGTTCTAAAAGAATTTTTTCGTTTGAGCACCACTTGTGCAATTCCATTTTCGCAGATTGTAGCATGTCTATTAACTGCCGCTGCAATTCTACAGCAGAGGTGACATCTTCTGCACCAGACAAAATGTCATCAACATAAAAATCGTTGAGTGTCGTTTTAGAAGCCAATGGATACTTATCTTTTTCATCTAAGGCTAACTGCCTCAAAACTCTTGTTGCTAAAAAAGGCGCTGATTTTGTTCCATATGTTACCGTAAGTAATTGATAAAGTTTAGATGCATCATTCAACGTATTTTTCCAAAGTATGCATTGAAGTTTTCGTTGCTCAGGATCTATACGAATCTGCCGATACATCTTGCATATATCAGCAGTGAAAGCCACCTTGTGTTTTCTAAATCGTAGCAAGATAGCAAACAGGTCATCTTGAACTACACCTCCATTCATCAAACAGTCGTTTAATGAAAAACCAGACGATGAAGGAGCCGATGCGTCGAATACCACTCGTAACTTAGTTGTACTGCTGTCTGCCTTATAAACACCATGATGAGGCATTATGTATTTAGGAGTTTCCGTCACACTCTGCATTTTTTGCATATGCCCTAACGCTTCATATTCACTCATGAACTCACAATACATCCTAGACATGTCAGGGGTTTGTCTAGTCTCTTCCACAAATTATTTAACCGTTGGGTGGCTAATTGCGAAGAATCACCTAAATGAACATCTTGCCTTAATGGTAGCGTCACTACATATCTACCCTCAATATCCCTCTGATGGGTTTTTCTAAAATGCTCCTCACATTCTACTTCTTCTTTATTTTTTATTTTAAGAGATTCTGTAACAGCCTCAATTTCCCAAAAGGACTTGATTAGTGAATTTAAGTCTTCTTCGACTTTCATAAATCCGCACTGAATCGTATTGCCTGAATTTGAACCAACATTTACACCGGTAGCAATGTATCCAAATACGGAATTTTGAAGAGTTAAATTAGAATTTCGTGGATGAATTTGATCAGCCTTCAATAGTTCATAAAAGCATTCTGCACCTAACAAGGCATCTATTTTCTGGGGCTTGTTAAAATGAGGATCCGCTAGTTTGATCTTTTTCGGAAGCTGTGAATGAAAATGAAAATTTAAAATAATTCACTGGTACTAAATCATTAATTTTAGGTACAACAAAGAATTCGAGAGCACGGTGGTAATCACGCTTGTTTGATATCACAGCAGTAAGCTTGGATTTTACCGATAGAGCTTTTCCATTTAAACATGAAATTGATATGTTAATTTTACTCCCTTTTATTCCAAGCCTATTAGCGAAATCATAGGTGAAACACGAACACTGACTTCCGCAGTCAAGTAAAGCTCGACAAGCAATAAAATTCCCGCAAGAATCTTAACATAAATAATAGAGCAGTAGATAGTAATACCTCCTTCGAAATCACTTGTGAAGCAGTTACAGACGAACCACTAAATTCCGAATTGTTTATTTGGTTGCAATTAGATAACATTTCAAAACATCTGGCGTCAGGGTTTAGATTCGAGTTGTCTACTAAAGGAGGGTCAGAATTATTAGCCGGTGCTTCCTCCTTCCCCACACAACTCGCTATAGTAGCAGGTGAATGCGAAATGTCTTGATTGGGAAAATGCAGTAAACTATGGTGTTTTTTCATGCATTTTGAACAGCTGAATTCTGAACGACAGTTCTTTGCAGTATGAGTCGGATTAAAACCCAAGCAATTAAAGCATAATTTATGTTTCTTAACAAATTCAAGACGTTCACTTACAGTCATTTTCAAGAAAGAATTACATTTATACAACTTGTGAAAATTGATACTTTTACAACAAATACATTTAAAATCTTGACCTTTAACATTTGACACTAAGGCAGTCACCTTTTGAATAGGTTGACCCTTTTTTGCATTTAAACACATTAGATGACTTTGACGACTGCAAAGTTCTAGCATGATTTTTTAGAAATGTAATAAGCTCAGA